GGACATTCATACCGAGCTGCTGCTATTGGAAGCCTTTTTGTTGTTTGACTCGTAAGTATGCGAGAGTACGTTTGATGTTGGTAGACATTACTGAAAATTTTTTGTATAGTTTTTTTTATATTCAAATGACATCTTTAACTGAGCTAGAAGGCTGATAAAATAAATAACTTCTGTTCTAAAGAAGAACACAAATTACAACAGGTTGTCTATTTTGCAATATTGGGCCAATAATGTATTTTTTATTTTATATCATAATTGGTAATTTTTACCAACAAATACGAAATAAATTATTAGCCCGGCGTCGTCAAGTCTCCTCCGCAAAAAGAATGTAATCATTAGACTGCGCCTTTTGTGGATGCGTCATACTTTCGATTTTGTATTGATAAAGTGCCATATTGCATACATTTCCAAAAAGAAATGGGTGCACTGCACATGTTTTAATAAAAATTATTACAATGAAAGAATTTCTGAACAAATGAAATTTTTATCAATAAAATGAAATAAGCGTTGTCTAAAATTTCCCATATCGCAACTACTATATAAAATGAGTGGTTCATCTTTCTACATAAAACTGTTATGCACGCAGATGCAGTGTTGTTACACGTAGGAAAAATGCCCTACTTGTCGGGATTTTTATTAAAAAAAAAATTGTTGTAGGGAAAAGATAGAAACTTTGCAAAGCCGTTATTGAAAAACACTATATTTTTGCGGCAGCATTCTCTTATGGTTGCGGTTGAGGAATTTAGGAGAAGTACATATCTGTTTGAGGACTTCATTACATTTTTATGCCCGTTTTCACACGCTTTCACGTGTTCACCAAGTTCTGTAGGGCAATTCTCTATCGTATTATAATGATTTTCGGATCGTTATAATGACTTAACGATAATTTTAACGATTTTGCTATTCTCTTAGCACAGTATAATGATTTTCGGATCGCAAAGAAGACTTAGCGATAATTCTAACGATTTTAATATTCGGTGTACTTGTTTTAACGATATTCGCTCTCGCTGTTGTAGTAAACTACTCGAAAAATCGTTAACTAAGCGACGAATAGGATTTATCACTAGATGAAGAGGTATCCTACCCTTCATCCTTGGATAGAAGTTTGCGACGAGAAGCGGAAGATCCTCTTCATTTGGATGCTACCGAGTTTCGGCAGCTATATAAATTAACGCCGGATTTAGTTGAAGAAATCGTTTCTAAACTAGATTGTCAACTAAAAGGAAGAAGAATAACAGCATTGTCCACGGAGAAACAGGTAATAATATATTTTTTCAATATTTTTTTTAGTCTTAACACTATTAAAATTTTTAAAGGTTCTAACCGCCTTGCGATTTTTTGCAACTGGATGCTATCAACGTCCCGTCGGAAAGCAATGCGGGATATCCATGAGTCAGTCGTCAGTAAGCCGTTGCATTCATCGCGTAACAGACGCAATCAACCGTTCGATGTTTTCTGCGAAGGTAACTCGGTTTCTTTTTGTCGTAACCATTCTACAATTATACTCACAATAAGGCATGTCTAATAATCCAAAAACCAATAAACGTTTCATTTTACTTACATTTTTCAAAAATATATTCAAAAGCCAGCCGAAAAATATGTACTTACTAATTTGGAATAACGAATTTATATGTTTTTGTCATTCCTCTTTGTGTTTTTCGTACATTTTGACGTATCGTTAAGCTGTGGTGCCATCTTTCCTACATTTTAATAAAATGGAAATGTGCGATGTCGATTATCGTAACAACTAAGTTAGAGAATCGCATAATCGTTAGCGCAAGCGACAAAATTCGCAACTTTGCGATCCGACAAATCGTGTCGATAAAAGTTACAGAATTGCACTGCTGGTTACTTAACTTCTGCTTAGTTTGATGATTGTGAATATTTTAAGGTAAATTTAAAAAAAAATCACGATGTGAATACAATAAAACTGCATGGCAGCTGGTATTTGCTTACATTTTGCCACACGATATGGTTGATTTAATTCTTAAGATCTTGAGTTGTCTCTTTTATTTTGTTTTAAATTTTATTTTGTGGTTTTGGAAAAAATTGTATGTGAATGCAATTTGATTCATATATTTTTATTTAGGAAAAAGGATTTCGATGGTTTTAAATTACATATATAAAATGTATGTAATATATGTATGTATGCTTATGGTCCCTTGCATCTCAGCTATGTTTTCGTCGAAATCAACGATGTTTCTGCTAGTTCATTCGCTCGAACTTCTACCACATCCAAATTAGAGTCATTCTAGATAGCAAAATTGTGCAGCACTCTACAATCACTTCGATATGCAAATTCGAATACGGATTTGATATTCATTGCAAAAATGTTCGGCGTCAAGACTGGGATGTAAAAGTTCACCCATCATTTAGTTGCTGACAAATCGTAACCACTTCCACTCAATTAAAAGAATTCCCTAAATTCGTTTTGCTCAAAGGTGGTTCAGACAGCCATTGTTAAAAATAATGCTGTTATGTCCAAAATCAGGTCACCTGCATACAAAGTCCATTACTTCCATTTTACAAGTACCCATTTCTGTTTCGAAAACTTTCGACATTTTCTTATCCAGGTGATTAGATTCTGACATGAATGCAATTTAAACACCCCAACACCTTTGGAAACTTCGCTCTTCAGTGAAATGTGCTCATTGTCCTCTCAATTTTCCGGTATTTTGAGGAATGATTGGACAAGTGCCGCAGTAGCAATGACTCCTATTTACCACCCGACTGGCAGTCGCTACTTACATTGCGCCCAACACCGGGACCCGATGCATAAACATAATAAAAACTTCTTCATTTTTGGAAAACTTTATTTGTTTACGGTACGTTCTTTCCCTGTAAATGTGCATCTGAATCAAAGCAGCCAGATAGGCAAAAAACTCAGTTGCACTCAAGTGGAAAGGATATTCCACTTTACGAAACAAACGTATATCCAATGATGAAGGGTACGATACCTCCTCACCTTGGGATAAAACCTAAGTAAGTAGCAAGTATTTAACGATCCGAAAATTGTTATAATACAATAGAAAGTTCCGCCACAGGTCAGGTCTGTTTTTTCAAAATCAAACTTTAAAGACTTGAGCTCTAACTGCTGTTTCTTAATTTCCTTAATTCTCGCATGGGCGCAAATCAGCGAAATGCCAAAAAATTTCGCTTTAATGAGGATTTTGGATGAGCATCCACCCGTGTGAATGCAAGTACTCGGCAACTGAGCTCTCGGAGCATATGGCGAGTCATTACTGTCGTGTATGGTCCTGATTATACACAATCGCCCTTCTTTTCGAGTTTGGCTGTAGGGGAGCAGCTTTAGAAATGGGACAATTTTGTTATGATTCAGCAGCGATTCACAGATGGAAATTCGGTCCATGAAGTTTTTCCCCTTAACTCATGGATGAATAAGTACATAGAAATTTTTTCTGTATCCAGGTTTTCTCAATTGATTTCAAACTTTTTCTTGTACAATTTTTACCAACGCATCGTAGTCGTATTGTCTTGCTGAAATTGAACCCCGTCTAAATTAGTATCGCCAAAAATGCGCATTAATCAAGGCAGAAGAGCAGCTTCTAATACATTTATGTATTTTTGACTGTCCATGCGACCCTCGCAAATGAACAATTCGCGCACACTATCAGCAGCCATGCCACCTCAGATCATAATCTGCCTCCTCCATGCTTAACCCAACCCGTCGTCTCACGAACGTCACGCCACATTGTTTTGATTTATTATTGTGGGATCTCGTCTCCGCAAATCACCTGATAGCACATTGGACCGCGCACCGCGAACATCACACCAAATTAGTAATCTCAACCAGAGACTTACCTTCTTCACTTAGAACTTGAATTCTAACTCTGTCATCGTAACTAATTTTACTTTTTTCAGGCATTGCAGTAAATATCTTCCAGGGTAGACTTCTTTATTTCTGGTACTCACGATTGACACATGAGTGCCAACGTCAGCACCAATAGAGCCTACATCAAATGGCGACGAGGCCTCGGCCTTTTAGGTGGCTATCATGTTGGGAAGCGATTTCTTCAACTAAATCTGGCGTTAGCAAATGTTCAGTTACATTTAAGTGGGAAGGGTCTTCCACTTCTCAAAGCAAACTTCTATGCAATGATGAACGCACGACATCTACTCATCTTGGGGGGAAAAACGTACACCAACTACTCAAAAGTCATTTTTGTTTATTATTTTTTTCTTGTTTTGTTTACTTTTTTTTTTTTAATTTATTGTTTCTTCATCACAGCTCGGCCGTGTGGAGATTTATTTGGCCAGCTATATGGCTATATTGTCAAGACCAATTCTCTTATTTTACTATTGTTTTGTTTATTGCTTAAGTAATTTATCGATCTACAAAAGTCGTGAAGAAATCAAATACTAAATATATCTATTGCGCGCTGGGGAAAATGAATTGACTACAAAGGACATACCCTTCTTTACTTATGCCGATGCTGGTGGAAACATTGGCAATGCTTCTTCACAGCATTTATCCAGAAACAATCAAAATTTTACCTAGCCCCTTAAGCCACACAAAATGTCGACGTTTGTACTCACCACGAAAAATGTCAGAATTTCTTTTTTGGCTGTAAAAATTGAGAATTTTCTACCGACTAGCACACAGCCTTAGTCATCAAAGTTAATCTGGGAAGCAATGAAGATGAAGGAGAGAAGCCGATAACTAGTACATTCTAGAACGATAAAACAAGAACCTTCGATAGCGAACAGCTCGATGCTTCTACGCTTTCGTCTGCGAGCACCCGACTGCTATATAAGGGCGGCACTCAGCTGCCAAGTCAAGTCAGTTACAAAGTGAACTCGTTGGCGTTAACATCAGTAAAGTGGTAAAGTAAACGCGTTAGCAATTACATTTAAGTAGAGTAAATAGTGAAAGTTTATGCAAGTGATTATAACTAGTAAAGTGCATTATCATTGAATTGTGAATTACTGAGTAAATAAAGGATATTAGATAAATTTTTTATAACGAAAGAAACTGCAAATTAAGTTGGCGATATTTTATTTAACAATCCAGAGATCGTACCCGATGGGTTCAGGAAAATCATCGAGGATGATTTAGCAAAATCGTAACCAAACTTTCTATGTGTACGACGAAATGTTGCCTCCTGCCAGTCTGCACGCATTGTTTTCAACAGATTTACAATCTTGTTCACCAAATTTAGTAATTTATATGTCCGACTTTTTCCTAATTAAAGTCCAACGCAGTATTTGCTTCTCTCTTGCAAGTTTCATTGGTGTTTTAACTTTTGTTTTGCTTGGTACTCTTGTAAAATAAGTTGTGATAGTTGAGTCGACATGTTTTTGAATAATTTTGCTATAAACCCTCACGGTATAGAGTGACATCTTCGAAAAGGTTCTTGTATTCAGTGCTTAGACAAACAACTTTTCGATAATATGATTTTGATTCCAACAATATTCCGTGAGTGATGTACAATTAAATGGCAGCAATAATACAGTCAGCAGACAAAATCGATTAAAACTCCCTTCAGGTATTTTAATGCTGAAGAAAACAGAGTAAAAACTGTCATGTAATCCTGCTATTATTGATGGCTATAACTGATTTATTTTATTAATTTTTTTAATTTACAAACAAGTTGTGTCACTGGATCAGGTTTCATTTGTTTTCAAAATATTGTCAATCAATTCTAAAACTTTGTACTTGAAATGCCGCATTTGTGAGTTCGTCATTTGATTGAGATCTGGTAATAGACTGTACAAAAACTGTTTTCTCGCATATTCAATACTCGTTAATTGCTCACGATCTGCATTTCCAGCGCAAGTTGAGGTAACAACAGATTTACGTTTCTCTTCTGGGTCTGTTAATAATCCGCTTGAATTTGCTGAGGCAATGTCACTGTCAGAATCACAATATAATGGGTCTTGATCTATCTCATCCATTACTTCAGTATCTGCATTTCCATCTACATTCTGTTCGTGGCCGGTTCCAAATTGATTAGCAGCAACATCCTCCTTCGTAAGCCTTTTATTAAACGCTATAGGCCGGCGTGTCGTTTGCAAAAACGGATATAAAAATTTTATGTAATCGTGTAAATAATATGGAGGAGCTTTTTGACCCATTTTCTCTTGTCTTACTTTGCTCGTTGCAATACCACGGAAATATTTCCATTTTTTCTTCAATGGCAGTGCTATAAATGTGACGAAAAAAAAAGCACACGAAGAAATTAAATAAATAAAGAGAAGGAAAGAAATTCATCAATCATTAATACCATGTACATTTCCATTGCTCTGGACTATGAGTTTTAAAATATCAGAATTTCAATTATATGTATAGGTGCATATTTACAATTAATTTCAAAGTATGGGAAAACTAGTTGCCGAATTTTCTCTTTGGGTGTTAAAGCAGTTAGATATGTATGTATGTATATACATTTGTATGTATGTACGTTGAAAGTAAGAAATTTTGGTGTGTCTGAAAGCACCTTAACAGCACAGAATGTGAGCGATTGTTGCCAAATTTAGGAAGGAGAGACCAAGAGAACAAAGTCAAAGTTATGGAAACCGAATGACCGCGGTAGCCGAGTGGTGAGCATTGCGTACTGCCATTCGGCAGTCCAGGGTTCAAGTCCTGTTATCCAAAGTTATATCCAAAAGTTATAGAAAATTTATTTAAATAAAGAATAAAGTGTACTTTTCACATGAAAATCGAAAGCTTCTCATAAAAACCATCAACCGTTCGGATGCGACTTAGTATAAATTGCTATTTTGTTTGTCAAAATATTTTTATCATTTCTATGAGTTTTTTAATTTCCATTAATATATTTAAAATTACATAAAGTAGTTCTGAGAATAAAGAAAAATTTTTTGCATAAAATCAAGGCGAATTTTTAGAAGGCGAAGTTGTCAAATCATATGATTTCTTGTCCTTCTCCCCATTTCAACAAATTACACAAACAAAATACATGACAAATAGATTTTGACATTTCGAACGCTCGTTTACACAAACAAAATATATTGAACGATTTTCGTTTGTGACTTGTCGAAACTATGATTACATAAATAAAATACATGGGATTTTTGTTTTTATATTCTTGCTACTACCGTGTGTGAATTTGTCTTGGCACAAAATGCTCGAATTACTCGAACTTGTGCTCTAGAATTTTCGGGCAATGGCTGCAACTACCCAACGCGCGTACCAGCCGTCCATAGTAACCTATCTTATGAGAGCGCCATGTAAACACACAAAGTTGTCACCGCTTTCCCATAGCGTTGCTGACGTTTGTGTCGCAGAAACCAACGAAGTTTTGATTTTTTCCGTAAAACCGGCTCGGCTCATTTCTCGTTGCTATACAAGGTTGCCAGTATAGCCTTTCTTAAAGTAACATTAAATAATCGAAGATAATGCGTAGTTTTGTTCAAAAGAAATGAAAAATAAATGCGTAACTAATTATTTGTTACCATATAGATCATGTATATTTGCTTGTGTTTATGTTCAAGCAAATAAATTATGAAATTTGTTGACGAAAATTATGAATTTGTTCAAAAGAGTGCAAACACACAGGCAGCTGGCAACATTTCGCCGCTCTCAGCGACGTCGATAACTCGTTTATGTATCTCGCCTCGACGTCGCCACTTATGGACGGCTGGTGAGTGAAATGGGTAGTTGCAGCCAATGAGCAATTACCGAGTGTGCTCAAATGCTCAAGCTGTTCGAACATGTTCGAACGCAAAACCACAAATTGGTATCAGCCCTCCTCTTTAAAACAGAAATAAACAGCACTAGTAATACCAAAGTAAGCTTTTATTAATTCGTGTACTTACGATCGCAATTCAATTCTTTTGCAATTTCATTCCACGCTCTATCTGCGCACTGTATCCATTGTTTTATTTCATAACTTCGTCCTTTTAATTTAGGATCGTATATAATCGGATATTTCTCCACAGTCTGTAGGAAACGTATATTAAACTTCTGATCTACTAAATCGTTCATTACGAGACACCTGACTACAAAGCAATACACATTATAAGTATAAAACAAAAGAAGCAACCTAGCACTTCGATGTCTCAAAAAATACTGAGAGTCGACGTGGGCACATCAACCACAAGTCTTGTGTGTGTATCTTGCTCGTTTGTATTCGTTAAACGACATGCCATCCTATGACGATGTGTTGATTACATTTGTTCTGTTCGGTAATCTGCTGGGCAGTAACAATTGCTACAAATTTTCACTAAGCCGCGTTTGGTGAGACAAAAAACTGTTAAAATTTGCAACGCGAGAACATAATTTTGACATTAACAGGTCTTTCTGTCGAGATAATAAAATTTACATTGGTATTTAAATCTACCATTCAGTAAATTTTGTCGCTATTTCGTATTCTGAGTTCACAGTTACTTATAAGCTTTGTTACTCGTGAATTAGGAGGTAACAAAAAATCTGCTGTTTGATTTTGTGTTGGAAATTCGAAAAAAAAAACAATAAAACTAATATGTAGAGACATATTTTATGTCTAGAATTCATTGAAGATGAAAAAGAAAAGTGCCAAAAAGCGCATGCTAAGATGTTTGCGAGAAAAATATCACCCTTTTACTTTGGAAGATAGCGTTTTCATTCAGCTGTTTTTTGTCTTCCTTGCCTATTTTTCATAATTAGGTTAAATTACTAAAAATTACTAAATAATAAAAAAATATTTAAAAACTTACTTATGTTGTTGCGCTCCGCCTTCCATTTAGATGTGAATATTCTTCTTTTTATTTACAAACTGGCAAATGTAATTTGAAATGATCAAAAAAAGCAGTGCTGCCAAAGTTTTTTTTTTAATAATGTATTGTTACGATTTTACTAAATCAACCTCGATGATTTCCTAAATCCCTCGGGTACGATCTCTGGATTGTTAAATAAAACTCGCCAACTTAATTTGCAGTTTCTTTCGTTATAAAGATTCTATCTAATGTCCTTTTATTTACTCCGTAATTCACAATTCAATTACAAGACACTTTACTAGCTACAATCACTTGCATCAACTTTCACAATTTACTCTACTTAAATGTAATTCCCAACGCGTTCACTTTGCGACTTAACTGATGTTAACGCCTACGAGCTCACTTTGTAACTAACTTAACTTGGCAGCTGAGTGTCCCCTTATATAGCAGTCGGCTGCTCGCAGACGAAAGCGTAGAAGCATCGATTTGTTCGCTATCGAAGGTTCTTGTTTTATCGTTTCTAGAATGTACTAGTTATCGGCTTCTCTCTTTCATCTGACATTCGCCTCGCATTTTCGCAACAGTACAGTACATATGTGCTCTAGAATAGGCATATAAGCTTGGAGGCGACGTTGCAAATTCGAGCTGGGATAATTTGAGTCCGTAAAAGTTAGCAAGTATGAACAGTTGTTTTGTGATCGTTTGATTGAATTTTTGTCAACCACACAAAAATTATTTAAATTTAAAATAATATTGGCATTTTAATATGAATGATTTGTAAATAAAGTAATCAATAGTAATTTTTTTAAATTTAACGCACTGATAGTAACAATTCAATGAATTAGTAGTGTTGTGGCAATCGATGTGTGTACATTGAGGAATCGGAAGTAAGGAATATTAAAGCCAGAATTTAGAATGTTTTTAGTTCGATGCAAGGTGATTTTGTATTCCTTTAATTTACTTGAAGTGAACAAATAATAATAAAAAAATTGTTGCTACGGCCGCAATAGCGATAACACCGTTGCGAAATACCAAATACGAATGACTGAGAAGTCGATAACTACAGCACATTCAATTGCGCGAATCGAATTTTCTGTATATCGTGAGAGCATGGCAGAAGCTTCTAGAACTGAGTACCAGCACCATCAATTGGGTATATAAGAGGCTAATACAACCACTTTAAAACTCTTTGATATGGTTTTTAATTTCTATTGAGAATTTCTTACACTTCTATGAAATCATCATAGCCATAATATATACAACAAAGAGAAACTTTAATTTCCACTTTTTGGCACCTAAAGAGCGTTTAATGACAGAGCCCGAAGGCGAAAGTAAGTATTAAATGAAAAACAAAATTCAATGAAAAATAAAATTATGCCTCGGATTAGAGAACCCCTATTCATAACGACTCCGCAAAAATTTTAAGGATTACGATTTCAGGACATGCGCCTGAAATGTCCGGCCTATTAATTGGGAAGGTGAGGCTGTCCAGCACGTAGGAATAGTGGACGACATCAACACCGTTCAAGAAGTACGAAGGACGGAAGAAGGTGAGGAATGTATGGAAGGTATTTTTGGGACAACCGCCGGAAAATTCAGTCTATTGGATTGGATGGCGAAAATAGCTGGTACGATGAGGACTGCCGTGTCGCAGTGGGGAGAAAACATACGAGGTGGGGTAGAGCTGAAGAGAGAAGCAAGACGCATTTGCAGGGAACGAAAGAAGAGGCCGAATGGTGTGAGTATGAAGAACTTGACTAGATGGTCAAGACCGGAGCAAACTTTTGTAGGACCCAGAGGGGTGAGCTAGCGACGGATTCCCAGAGTATACTGAAGCTATGGAGGGAACACTTCTCCATCCTGCTGAATGGCAGCGAAAATGAAACACACGGAGAAGGTGAACCTGAAACTCCAATTGATGATGATGGAAAAGTTCGAATAGAAATCCCTGCTTTTAAAACAACAAAGAAGCGGGGAGCGATTGATTACCGGCCGAGCTATTCAAATAATTCTTTGCAAAATAAAGTCAAAAGGAAGCATGCTTAACGATTGGAACATAAGTGTGCTCTGTCCAATTCACAAAAAAAAGTTGGGTCCACAGTCTGCGCCAATTACCGTGGAATAAGCGTTCTTAGTGTCGCCTACAAGGTCCTATCAAGCTTATTATATGAAGAAAAAAGCCAACCATCAACAAACTGATTGGACCTTATCAATGTGGCCTTAGACCTGCTAAGTCAACCATGACCAGTTCTTGCAAAATACCCGAGAAAAGAGGATCGACACACACCACCTCTTCGTCGATTAGAAGGAGCTTCGAAAGTATGAGGAGGAGCCGCCTCCACGCCACTGTGTCTGAATTTGGTATTCCCGCAAAACTTATACGGCTGTGTAAACTGATCTTGAGCAACACAAGAAGCTCCGTCGGGATCGGGAAGCTCCTTTCCGAGTCGTTCGAAACCAAACAAAGTTCTTTAATTTGGTGCTGGAGAAAATAATAGGAGCTGCAGAGCTGAATAGAGAGGTACAATCTTTTATAAGAGTGTACAGCTGCTGGCATACGCCGATCATATTGACATTATTGGCCTCAACAACCGCGCCGTGAGTTCTGCTTTCACCACACTGGATGAAAAAGTGAAGTGAAGGGGTCTGGTAGTGAATGAGGACAAGACAGTCATCGCATTCGCTTCCCACGCCACTGTTTGCAGTCATAAACTCGAGGTCGTAGATAATTTAATCTATCTAGGGTCGAACATTAACACCAATAATAATTTCAGCCTGGAAATCCAGCGCAGAATCACTCTTGCCAAAAGGTGCTACTTTGGACTGAGTAGGCAATTGAAAAGTAAAGTCCTCTCCCGACGAACGAAAACCAAACTCAGTACCCGCTGGCAGACGCTGAGGAAGAAGGAGACCTCCACTCCGTTGGAAGGATCAGGTGGAGAGTAACCCAGCTCCACCTGGTGTTTCCAACTGTAGCACGCTAATATTGATTTTGCTATAATGGCGTAATGGGTGGCAACCTCAATAAAGAAGAAGAATCATAGAATCTAAATGTCATATAATGCATTTTGTTATGTCATCGAAAACGTTGTCCTCTTATCACAGGAAATTATGAGTTAACTTAGTTCTTTTAGATAAAAAATTAAATCTTTAGTTTGTTGTCTTCTTAAAAACAGAAGAATAAGTGAATTGTTTGCTCTGTACTTTTAGCTGCTGTTTTGGCGGTTTTTTTCAGAAAGTGAAAGCTAGAAACAGTCCAGCTTCTTTTTTTCGAACATTTAGCTGGATTTCTAAAAAAGTTCTGGCAACACTGGTTATAGTAGAAAGCAAGTGAGCGAATAAACGCCATTACCGTGATATAGTCTATCTATCGACGATGTACATCTACTACTAAAAACACAGCTATGTACAGTGATTCAAAAATGTACATACACCTAACCCCATTAAATTCCGTCTATAGCTTATTTCCTTTAAAGTATTTACTTTGAAAAATAGATATTTAGCAGTAAACGTCACTTCTCGCATTTTATTTTTTCAAACCAACAGAAAAAAAAAATAAAAAAAACATAAATTGCGCTTTATTCGTATCAAAAAAAGTTTAAATATAGTAATAATTATGAAGCAAGTAATAAAGTAATTGCAAAAATGTATGTATTGGTATTTGTATTGGACCTCCTCTTGCTGAAATAATTGCCTCCAGTCGTCTTTAGACGAAATTTGATGTTTTCGTATATGTTTTTCTCATAAACCCCATAAATGTTCTATAGGATTAATGTCTCATGATTGCGGGAGTGTATGGAGTTGCTTACAATTGTATAACAACAATTCATGTATAAGATATTAAGTGTATTTTGGGTCGTTATCAAGTTGGAAATAAAACCCAGAGTTCAGGACACTTGGACGTAAATTATTTTTCAAAATGTCCAAGTACAAGTACGAATTCTCCTTCTCCGGTTGAAGATATACGCCCCCAAACCATAACATTACCTCCTCTGTGTTTTACTTTTGACAATAAGGTTTTTCACGCAGCTCCTCATTGACCTTACTCCACACTTTTTGTGCTGCATCCGAATCATATACTGTATTATTTAAATTTTCATTCATCACTGAAAATAATATACTCCCAAAAAGAATCCGGCTAATTCAAATGATGTTTAGCAAAATCCAACGTCTTTTTGTTTTGTTAACCTTACTTATATATTTATATATATATAACTACGCGCCATTCGACCATGAAATTCAGTACTATATACAGGGTGCTCCATCTTGTATGTCGGTATGTAAACATTGAATAACTTTGAGAAGAAACAAAGGATTTCTATAAGTAATGTATTTTTATCCAGTTTGGGTCCTAAAATTTTTTTGGACTAGTTGTTGAAAACAATATCAATCAAGTGGCTACCTTTATTAGCAATCACAAAATAAATGTGAAGCAATCCATGGCAAAAATTGTACTGAATTAACGTTTCCAAAACATTTCTCATGCAATCGCTCGGTTGGTAAATGTGAAAGTTATTGAGCGTTTACATATGCACGCCTGCATGGGATTTTCCAATAGTTTTATCGATTTCAAGTAAAGATTTCCTTTCTAAGTATAATTTAATTATTAATTTGCGCACTTCTAGATATACTTATTTCTTTACCGCGATTCTTTGGGACTCATCTTTATCGCGCTTCGAACTAAAAATGACGAAAAAACAATATTATTTTTAAGTAAAACAACAACTATACGAAATTTCTCAATAATCCCGATCAAAGAACCAAGAAAAAATTAAAGCATGGTGTGTGTATGTTAACTTATTTGTTTAGTTTTGGTAGTTTTTTTCATTTTCGAATCGATCATAGAAGGCACTGACAAACTTAATGGGATTAAAATCGGTCGCATCAACTACATATATAAAACGTCTAATTAGCTGTTTAAAATAAGTTTTAGCTACGAAAGCAGCGTGTATGTAAACTTTTTTGACTCACTGTATCTCACTAGGCTGCATCGTAACGATAATTTCCACGTTAACATAGAAATGTCTATTGTTTCGGTTGAATCATTTGTTAATATTAGCGTTAACGCAGTTATCAAAATAAATTTCTTTTCGTTTTTACCCGAAACAAAATGCTTTCGTTCACAGATAATGGTAAATATTAGAATTGAAGTGTACTGTTAAAATTAACGTTAACGTTGAGTTTGTGCGATTTCAACGTAAACAGTTCCAGTTGAGCCTCTCTAATTTGTACCCAAGTAGTGATTTCTAAGGGTTTTTAGGTTAATTTGCATCACGCTATCGTTTAATTAGCTGTTGTCGTAAACTAAACAGGTAAGAATATAATTTTTTAGCACTATTAAAATGCTTAAAGGTTCTAACCGCCTGGCGATTCTTCACATCTGGCTGTTATCAGCGTTCCGTCGGAGAGCTATGGGAAATATCAATGAGTCTGTCACAACAAAGAACGTAAATGAATAAGAAGCGGCACGACGGTCTCGTAAATTGGCTTTTTCAGAAAGAGCGTAAATTGAAGGTCCAATCTCAGGAATTCGCGTCCTCCTCACACCATTCGTAGTTCGGAGGGGCGATATGCTGAATCGAAACCAAATTTTCGCTTGCAAGGGTATCAAAACAAAAACAAAAGACCAGTTGTATGAGAATTAGCAAAAATTGTTGATTGGAGCTGAGAAAAAGGTAAACAACCGAAGTTTTGGTAAAATATATCTACAGTAAACTGTGAAAAATTGAAAAACTGACATCAACAAATAAGTGACATTTTCATATTTATCAATGGAATAGTTCAATAACAAAATTTTAATGCATACATTTGAGGCTAAAGTAGAGATCGAAATTATATTTATTCCTTTTCTATTCATTTTGTCCAGTTTATCGTGGGAATATTGAATACTATTCTAATTTTATCAATAGCTCGGTTGGTCATCTAAAATGTCACTTTATTTGGAAAGTATCAATATAGTCTTTGCCGAAGTGGTTACGCCTGCGCTTGTTTTGCCAGAAGGCTCAGGTTGAAATCCTTCTCTCGCTTGTTGGTTGGTGGGCGGTTTACCTTTTTTACTTTTTGAAATAAGCAAATTTTTAATCGTCGCCAAGGAATTGCTTGTTGATGACGGGGTATAAGGGAAAGATGTTGGCATGTTTTTGTGTGAATGGGTCTTTCATATATGTACATACGTACAGAGGCAATTGAATGTGTTTCTATTTGACTTCAACTCAACTTAAAATTCTGATATTTGTAGATTTTGTCATCGTCGCGGAGAAGTTGCTTGTGGATGGCGCGTTGAAAGAACAAAGGGCATGCGCATTATTAAGATTGTATGCGTTTTTCGTATACATATTAAAATGCTTGAATGTATGTGCTTTCACTTTGGCGTGAGTTGAACATCAATTTCAGATTTTTAGCAAAATTTTACTTCGCTTGAGGAATCTGTTTGTTGATGAAGAGTAGAAGGACAGAGGGTTGTATGTAGTAGTTGTTTTTGTTGCATTTGTGCTGTTTCTGCGTTTGTGTTTGTTGCATTTGTGCGTTTGTTCTTGTGATTGACCGCATGAATCGCAAGTGAAGTTGAAGTTATTTCCCAAAATTAACAGTTTAAAATAAAAAACAGCTAAGTCAAATTTCCATGGAATTTTTATTCTGTCCGTAAACTACATTTACATATAAATAAAAATATACATATATACAAAGAATGAACATATGAACGAATGTACCAATATTCATTAATTCATTTTATATTGACATTTCTACATTCGCAAGTTTAGGCTGCAACTACCCAACGCGCGTACCAGCCGTCCATAGTAACCTATCTTATGAGAGCGCCAAGTAAACACAAAGTGGTCAGCAATTGCCCATGCCGTTAGTGACGGTTGTCCCGCAGAAACCAACGAAGATTCGATTTTTTTCCGTAAAACCGGCTCGGCTCATTTCTCGTTCCTATACAAGGTTGTCTTTCTTAAAGTAACAATAAATAATCGAAGAAAATGCGTAGTTTTGTTCAAAAAAAAAAAATGAAAAATAAATCCGTAACTAATTATTTGTTACCATATTTATCATGTTTATTTGCCTTGTGTTTATGTTCCGGCAAATAAATTATGAAATTTGTTAACGAAAATTATAAATTCGTTCAAAAGAGTGCAAACACACAGGCAGCTGGCAACATTTCGCCGCTCTCAGCGACGTCGATAACTCGTTTATGTATCTCGCCTCGACGTCGCCACTTATGGACGGCTGGTGAGTGAAATGGGTAGTTGCAGCCAATGAGCAATCACCGAGTGTGCTCAAATGCTCAAGCTGTTCGAACGCAAAACCCCAAATTGGTATCAGCCCTCCTCTTTAAAACAGAAATAAACAGCACTAGTAATACCAAAGTAAGCTTTTATTAAGGCTGCAACTACCCAACTCACTTACCAGCCGTCCATAACTGGCGACGTCGAGGCGAGATAAACACACGAGTTATCGACGTCGCTGAGAGCGGAGAAATGTTGCCAGCTGCCTGTGTGTTTGCACACTTTTAAACAGATTCATAATTTTCGTCAACGAATTTCATAATTTATTTGCTTTAACATAAACACAAGGCAAATATACATGATCTATATAGTAACAAATAATTAGTTACGCATTTATTTTCATTTCTTTTGAACAAAACTACGCATTATCTTCGATTATTTAATGTTACTTTAAGAAAGGCTATACTGGCAACCTTGTATAGCAACGAAAAATGAGCCGAGCCAGTTTTACGGAAAAATCAAAACTTCGTTGGTTTCTGCGACACAAACGTCAGCAACGCTATGATAAATCGGTGACAACTTTGTGTTTACATGGTGCTCTCATAAGATAGGTTACTATGGACGGCTGGTACGCTCGTTGGGTAGTTGCAGCCTAAGTAGTTATGTATGTGTAAAATTTTTCAAATATACTATATATGTATGTGTATGCTTAGCACCTACGCGTATTGACGTTTGTCTCACGAAGAGTACATTCTCACCCGTTTGCTACTTGTTAAAACCGACGGGCTCATTTGGTACTGCAATACCGACAAACTTGTACAAGTTCGGTGAATGAGCTATTATGTACATACATACGTGTATGAATGAGTTCAGTTTGTCGTGAGCAGTTGAAGTGTTTGGTTGTTCGGTTTGGTCGGTCGTAGCATTGTTTTTGTGCCGATTTTTCGTCATGAATGGTCTAGTGGATCAAAAATTTAATATTCGTTTGGTGGAAACGGTGAAAAAATATCCAGTTATATACGACTGTAACATTAAAGGATACAAAAAAATACCTTGCGTACTTCTCAGACGAAAAGCGTGGAAGTCTATTGGGAAGGAGTTAAATTGTGATCGTAAGTAATAAAAGTTTTCTAGTCCCCTTTCATACGCGTGAGGTCTTGACAGCAATTTTTTTCTATTCTCTTCTGTGTTTTCAATTTGCTTTCACATGCGTTATTGAATTCAACTGTTTCATTCCTTGCTTGCTTTTGACATTTAGAATTTTATTTTTGGTAATTTATAGAATTTTAAAATTTATGTAAACTCGTGGATTAACTATGAATTGTACATATTCGATATTTGAAAACAGTGTTGCCATTATCAAATAAATTGAAACCCTCTAACAAATAACCGAAGCTGCAATGACGCAACTCTGAGTTTTAAAACTATTAATTTTTTCACTAACTTTTTTCTTCACACTTTATTTTTAGCAAAAACATTGCACCAAAAATGGCACCAATTCCGCAAATATTTTTCGCATGTAATGCTATTAAAGCAAAGGGGTGAAAATGCACCGTATTATTTATCCGAACACCTAAAGTTTCTAATACCGTATTTGAGAATCACACACGAGTCCGTGGCGTCGGATTCAAGCATTGAGGAAGTCAACCAAAACGAGATAGACTCAGCTGAAGAGGTAGAGGAGATGGACCAAGACTTAATGCATCTTGACAGTCATTCCAATGATGGGGCTATAAGCGATGAGGCTGATGTTGAAGTCACCGAACCTCATTACAATCAGAATAGAAGAAGCGAAGTAGTTTGCAATAGAAACGCTACTCTACCACCAACACATGTTGCTCCATCTTCCACTGGAATTGCTGAACTTGAGCAATTTTCAGCAAAAGGAGATCCAAAACTACAGTTTTTATTGAGTTTGTTGCCAGACCTAAACGTAATGACCAACGCAGAAATGCGACAATTTAAGTGCAAAGCTCAACAGTTGGTTGATGAAATTTTAAACTAAAATTATAATTAATACCGTTACACAATTAGTTTATAAAATAAATTTAAATATTTTCTCTTTCTTTTGTTATTAATATATTGAAATTTTTCGTGAAGGAATACAATCGAAATATAGGGCGAGTTACAAAACGTCAAAACATGCCAAAACCGCATCATTACAATGCAACCCTGCATTCTATAAATTTGCCTTGCAACAATACTTTGCAAACTCTGACATTTTGGAACGCTTTACGGTGAAATGGCTAAAATATATAACAGATCAAAATTACTATAAGTAATATAATGAAAAACAAACATCAGAAATCTTAGATGCGCAGTTTGCTTTTGTTTGTACAACGTTTTGGAACCTGATAGACTATATGGAAGAACGACGGAGTTTGCCCTAAAAGAAACTATAATTTCAATGAAAGAATTTACAAATGTATATGATGGACAGAGGTTATGGTCATATCGATCTATGTACGTTATGTTGAGCGGAACCGTTCGTTGGCAGTGTATTGGAGCAGTGCGAATACTATCAAGGGCTTTTTCAAATTTCTGTTCTGTTTTTATAAAGCATAACTGACATAGCTAAATTGGAGCGTTCGGCGAAGCGTTTTCTAATGTCGAGTGGCAACGGATGTTGGTCGTACCAGGATTTTAACCCGAGTCTTATTTTGCTTATTTATCGGACTTGAAAATCAATAAATGTTTGAAATGATGTTATGAAACCGACTTGGTCTTGATTTTTTCGAAGATAAGCAAAACCGATATTCGAATAAACTTATTATCATTAAATATTTGATTGATTGATTTAAATATTTCATTGATTGATTTATTACCAGTGAAAGAGGACAAAATCGAATCATTTCTGAGGTCCGGACCTGGCGCCATCTGACCATAATTTGTTCGGTCACAGAAGTTCCACACCGATGGAATTAGGAAGCAACTAATAATTGCCAATATGTATGTATGTATGTAGATAGAATTAATTTTCTAAAATATACAAAAAAAATCCGCAGACTCTTTACATAAATACTTACTATATACATGAATGCATTTGTATAGGAGAAAGAAATCAAAGGCAGTGAAGTGTATTATTCATATTTAATTTAAATTTAAATTATTTTAATTATTCGGCTTTTAACTCCTGTATTCCACACAGGGCAACTATGTATATGTAAATATTCGAGTAATGCTTATTTCTCAATAAGCAAATTTACTCCCAGATAGCCGATTATATCCATATGTGCATATGTATGTATGCACAGGCAAACTAGCATTGAGCAATTCCTGCCATTTAATTTCAATTTCAATTTCAATTTTCACAAGTTACTGAACAATTTTTTTCTTTGTATTGTATAGTATTATTATACTATAAGTATATAAGTATGTATCAACACTAAATAAATATGTAAATATGTACTAATATGCATACATCCATACATATGCATATAAATATATATATTGCTATAGATTCAAATTCCTCTCCGTCGTCGCCTTAACTAATACTGCAACTACCTATCTTATATACTCGTACTCCCGGCCGTACCACCCGACTGGACTAACAGAGACGAAATGTTACCAGCTGCCAGTGTGCTTACACACTTTTAAAAAATTTATAATTTTCGTCAACGAATTTCATAATTTAATAATCTATATGGTAAGAAATAATTAACGACGAATTCTGATTTCATTTCTCTTGAGAAGCTGCACATTTTTTTAGTTTATTTAAACTGGCAACCTGGTATAACAGCGAGCAATGAGTTGAACTGGTTTTACGGAGAAACTTTGACAGCTGAGTCGCTATGTTTTTGGATAGATGCAGCAGAATAGCATTCCAACACATACATACATCTTATATGCACATACGTGTATGCCAACAGAACAATAATCGCCTCGGTTGCCGAGTTGAGTCAAAGCTACAACAAGAGTTGCGCAACTAGCAAAAACTCAGTTTGCTCTGAACAATTGACGTGTCTGGTGGGTTCTTTGTGTCGCTTAGCCTATTTTGAGTTTCAATATGAATACCACTGATTTGAAGTTTAACATACGATTATTGCGATGTGTTAAGAAATATCCGGTTATATACAATACCAAATTAGAGGAATACAAAACAAGGAATTGTATAGATTACAGAGATGCAGCGTGGCGTGACATTGCGGAAGAATTAAATTGTGATCGTTAGTACAACAGAATTTTATCGATTTATATAATCGAAAAACCTTTTGCGTCCACGTTCCCGTTTTTATTGCTTTTGTTTATTCAGTGAATAATTATTCTAATAGTTTTTACGTTAATTTAATTTAATTCATATGGATCAATAACAAATTTGACTCCAAAATAGTTTAGTATAATTTTTTATGGAAAGCTACATGCGTCAGACACAATTTTATTCGGGAAACTTTACGATTAAAATTAGCAGGTTTTTTTAAACACATTTTCAAACGCTGCCCAGTCAAATGCAAGATCCAGTTTGTTTATTTTATAACCAGAATATGTATTTAATATGGCATTGGTTGAGTGTAGATCAAAATGGGTCGCCAAGCAAGTATTGAATTGTGCGAATTAATCCTATAACATCATTATAAAGCAAGGACTGGTGAAATTGAGCCAAGGAACTGTTCGGAATATCATGGAACGCTATGTTCGTGAAAGTCATGCGTTAAATAAAACTAAAACGGCTCATAATTAAATATTTAACGAACGATTCCCGATGAATTGTACGGAAAATACGCGAAAACCCCCACTTAAGTGCTCCAGCTTTAGAAGTGCTAAAATATCTTGGAAAAAGCTGGAACCTAGAAACCATACGAAGAATCCTCAGAGAAACTGATTTCAATGGCTGCACAGCTCGAAACAAATATGTCAGTGCTAAAAATCCAAGGGCAAGGTTGAAGTTTGCAAAGGATCATTTATATAAATATGAAAGTTTCTGGGACACCGTAATTTTTGCGGATGAAAGTAAATTCAACCTGTTTAGATCAGATAGAAAGAGCTATGGAGAAAAGCAAATGCTGCGCTGGAACCATAAAACATAGCACTGTAAAACATGATGGAGGGCATGGAATGGTATGGGGATGCATGTCGTCTTCTGGAGCTGGAAATTTGGTTTTCACAACAGTGCTATGGATAAAACTGTGTATTTGGACATTTTAAAAAGAAATTTGTTGCAAAGAGCCTCAAAATCTAATATTCGCAACATGTTTCGGTACTATCAATCCGAAACACAAATCAGTCGTTGTGTAAAGTTGGCTTATTTGGAACTGTCCGTAGTGCAAGCCCCAGCGCAGTCTCCAGATTTGAACGTGATTGAGAATCTGTGGTCAGTTTCTGAACGAGATTCGGAATGAAAGCGACTGAAAAAAATCCCTACAAATGGAATGGAACACTATTGCTTAGACTACACGAAGAAGTTAGTGGAATCCATACCCAAACGTATGAAAACAGTCACAGACAGCAAGAGGTATCCTACTAAATATTAATTAACATAAAATTTTAGTTTTGTTCTTGAAAAAATATGAAATTTATTATTTTATTTGTTACTGCATCATTTTCGCCGTGAAATACAATTTAATAGTGAAGTTTGTTTTTGTTGTTAATCATAAAAAATAAACATAAATGGCGGCCACAGTAGCCGAATGGATAGCATTGCGTACTGATATTCGGAAGGCGGATTCAAATCCCGGTGCCACCAACATTAAAATAAAAGCTATGGGAAATTAATTTAAATAAAAAATAAGCTAAATTTTCCACCCCTCCGAGTGTAGTGTATTTCGGACATGAAACAAAGGCTTCTCGTAAAAAAACGCCAGCCATTCGTAGGCGGCTTAGTATAAACTGTGGGTCCGTCGGATGAAAAATCGCTTCAGCAGCTACAAAGCGCCAATTATATATATAAACACAAAATATAAAATTTTCAAAGCATCAGTGAAATGTGTATATCTGCAGCTATTAACCGGCATTCATGTTTTTTTTGGAAAATTTATTTACTTTTTAAATAAAACTTATTATACTATTTATTACATAGCTGCATCACTATAGCTGTGAGCCACTGTATATATGTTTTTATATAAGAAGTTAAAAAAGTAAGGCTCATTCTGTTGTCTACTTTACTGACTTTATTCCGTTTGAATTGAGAATATTCCATTTGATATTTTTTATTTTTGGCGTTGAGAAGAACGAATATAGATTTATAGGCTGCTATTTAATAAAATAAAATAACTGTTAAAAAATAAATAAACACTATAATAGCATAATAATCGTTTCTTTCCAGCTTTACTATTTTCAATTGAAATATTCTTTAAGCATTTTTGACTTTTCCTTACTTACTAAATCCTGCTGGAGTTTTTTATTTTCAAAATTCGTGGTCAGAATATAAGGAAGATTGAATTCTATAATAAATTGAAATATTTATAAATTAAAATTTTGTAATATTTGTTACGAAACTTTTTTCTATTTTGTGTGTGTATTATTTATTTTAATTTTTTACTTTTAAACGTTCGTTTTTATAAGTAACGCATATGTGTATACGTGTACATACATAAGTCATTTCGATAAAAAAAGGCTCTAGAGGAAACGAACACTTAACCAAATTTGTAACGTGCCGCGCTGCATGTTTCATGGCGGTATGTAAAATTGAGTCAATACGAGTGCAGTAGTGCGAAATAACAGAAAGAAGTACAATCTATTTTAACATTTTATTGTATTAAAGAGTTAATTGAGAAATACTAAAACATTCAAGTACCAACATAAGAGTTAAAAAAAAAATTTTAATGAAAATAATTTCAAATTCATCAACCATTCTGCCACCGTCCGTTCATTCTCGCGCTCTAATGTAGCTAAGCACTCCGTCTTCCCCCGTTCTATATCCTCCATACCAATTAAAAAAAGCTGATCAAGTGTGTAATCCAATTTACTGAATGAGCGGGCAATAGCAGTGTTGTTTGACAGCACATTTTGCTTTCATTTATAATATAAAATTTTAATTATATTTTATTTAGTTATGAAAAATTAATTTAAATAAAAAATTAAGCTAATTTTTCTAATTGCGGTCGCCCCTCGGCGGGGAATGTCAACACCTCTGTCGTATATAAACCATCAGCCGTTCGGAGGCGACTTACAGGCCTATTCTCACTGTTACCAGTAAAGTAAATTTTGTTACTTTTCTTTAACACCCGAAATTGAATTTGGTATTCTGGCAAACTNATATATATATATATATATATATATATATATATATATATATATATTTACCATTTTCAGACCTATAAATACATAGAGCATTTATGAAATTCGTTGACATATTATGAATACGTTAAATTAACCCCGACAAGGTTGCTTATTTGCCTACTACTATTTTTCTTGGTTAATTTCTTAGCAAGTACTATTTAAATAAGAATGCTCATTGAAAAAATGCAAATATCATAAATATTTGATTATATAGTGATTTCGTAAAACAGCTGATAGTTTCCATACTCCTTTATACTCTGGTCAATACAAAGTTTCAAACTAAACTAAACTTGTCAACAGTTGCGCTTCGTTCTTATAGTTGCTGTCAAAATATTAGCGTCACTATAGGTATTTTACAATATTTAATTATTTAAAACTGTTACAGTGCTATATATGTATATATATTTTCTTCTTTTAACTTTACAGTCCCGTTACTAGGAGTACACTCCATCAGTAAGAGAATTTTTTTTTT